TCAGGACAGCCAGGCTATGTTAACTGTCTCAGCAACAAAAACGACTTTATTTTTAACTGTGTGTATCTGTGTCTGGGTATGTGCACATAAACGCAGGTGCCCAAGAAGTCTAGAGGAGGGTGTTGGGTCCATCGGAGTGGGCGTCACCAAGTGGTTGTGGTCCACCCAGCATGAATACTGGGAACCAGATATGGGTCCTATGCCCTTAGCCACGAACTATCTTTCCAGCCCCCAGAAAAGAGATTTTTTAATAGTTATATCTTACTGATATAGTGATACTGCCATGTCTTTGATAATATTTGAAAAAGAAATATGTGTGTCACGGGGGTTGTCTCATTATATATTTTTCATTTTTCAGACAGGGTCTTGCTGTGTTGCCAACTCTGATCATGAACTGGTCTTAGGTCATCCTTCCTCCCCAGCTTCTAGGGTGGCTGAGACTACCTTGGTTTTTTTATAAGGATAAGAGCTAGCAGCCCCTCATCACACACGCTGTCTTGTTTGGTTGGTTGGTTGATTTGGTTTGGTTGTTTTTTTTTAACTTTATTTATTTATTATGTATACAATATTCTGTCTGTGTCTGCAGGCCAGAAGAGGGCACCAGACCCCATTACAGATGGTTGTGAGCCACCACGTGGTTGCTGGGAATTCAACTCAGGACCTTTGGAAGAGCAGGCAGTGCTCTTAACCTCTGAGCCATCTCTCCAGCCCTGCTTCGAGACAGGGTTTCTCTCACTCTGTAGACCAGGCTGACCTTGAACTCAAAGAGATCATCCTGCCTCTGCCTCCTGAGTGCTGGGATTAGAGGTGTGAGCCACCACAGCCTGCTCACACTCTGTCTTTTAAATATGTGTTGTGTGAAAGCCAGAGGTTCTGTTTGTTCAACAGAAGTAGACATTTTGGTTTTGAGTTTTCTTAAACTCCTTTAATTATACTCAAAGATGTCAGACTTAAGTTCAGATTAAAATCCCTGATTTCTCTGATCTGCGAGTCATCTTAGGGTCGTAGAATGAAGAGGTTTAGCAAAAATGATAGGAGTGAGTGTGGGTTATGAGTGGACTCAGTGCTGGCGGCAAGAACCCTTTGAGTTCTTCCCTGGGATGTGAGGCATCACCGGAGTCTGTGTCCTGAAATCCCCTTTCCACCCTGGCCTGCTCTCTCCTTAGAGAGCTTGGTGAGGTGTGTAGGTGGCAGAGTGACAATCCTCTTTCCTGTGGAGTACAAAAGGGAAGCCTCTAAGGCTTTCCATTTCCCCGACGATACCGTGAAAGTCTGGGTATCATGACTTCAGCATTTCAATCTTTTCCTTCCATCAAGGAGCCCATGTTATAGTCCAGGAGACCAGGGCTCTGAGTTAAGTGAGTCCTGCTAGTGAGTAACAGGACATGGGATTTAAACTCGTTTGCCAGACTCCAAAACTCACATAAGGAAAAAAGCAACAATGGAAAACACATAGCTAAAAACAGCTCTAACTGTAGCAAGGAGATGGTTAATAACAGGTGACAGATGAGAAAAGGCGTAGGAAATAATCCTAGTAAGAGAAGAGAAAATGTCTTTGCTTTCAGAAGGTCAAAACTCAGGTCCTAATCAATATTTATCTCAGCAGAGAAACGGCAGAGTAGAGACATCTATTGGTCCAGGAAGCAGCTCCCAAACATCAGAGTACTCTCTAGAGGCATCCTGGCTTGTGAGTACAGAGCTCTGTGCCTGGCTTCACTACCCTTCTGTAAGCCAACTGACCTGTTACCAATTGGGCTCCATTTGTGTGAGCTCTACAGTGTCTTCAAATTGAGAGGTTTACACACTTGAGGGTCCACAAGATTTTGGTTCATTGCAAAATGCTGTTTTCTTAGTGTCCTTTTCCTTCACTAGAGGCTCAGGGGCTGCTCTGTGGCCTCAGCTCATAGCTGTGGTTGGAAAGAATGTGAAGTATTCACAGCTCACTTCCTAGGCCAGCTGGGCTGCCATGGGCTCCTGAGAGGATTTCACCATCTGCTGAAGCAGTGGGAGGCCCTGACCCCTGCTTGTAAAATGCAGCCATTGCTGAAATTCCAGCATGTCTACATGTGCTGATACTGGCTTCCAAAGCATCTGAAATGTTTCTGTGGGACAAAAAAGAAGTAGATACGAATTTCAGGACCAAGGAGTAAGTAGTCTGTGAGCCTGAGGAGTTTGTTTGGGACTTGGAAGAGCTGGAATTCTGAAGAAGGAACTTAGACATATCACTGCACTAAATCCCTTCTTGTTTGTATATAGTTTCTTACTAACCAGGATTTGGATATTCTAGAGTAATTAGCAACTGAAAATTTTGCTTCTAGTACAAATGCAAGCTGTCAGCTGTGGGTGTCTTCATTAGTGTTGCTTTTGGTAATTCTGATTGGCCTGGAGTTCCAGTATGAAGATGGATTTTTTTTCAGATTTATTTTATTTGTATACATGTATACTTACACATATGTATGTATACCACATGCATGCTTGGTACCTTCAGAGGCCAGAAGAAGGTGTCGGTGCCCTAGAACTGGATTACAAGGTATTGTGAGCCCTCACCATCACCTGGATTCTGGGACCCAAACCTCCATCCTCTACAAGGGCAGGAAACAAGTGCCCATAGCTGCTGAGCCGTCTCTCCAGCCCCACACAAGAGCACACTAACCTCAGCGCTGCCCAGTATGGAGATGATTCTGCGGCCCTGTACACGGTTGACGCCTGGTAAACAGCAGTGCCGTCGCCACCTTCCTCACATCAGCGAAAGGCGTTGGACCTTTAGGTTTTTCGGAAGTGGGAGAAAGATAACAAAGTAGCTTTTGAAAAAGTTGACCTCAAGTCTGCCAGCAAGGCAGGGTGGTACGAAACTTCATGAAAGTACAAATATCACTTATTCCTGCTATGGATTTTCTGGCCAGTAGTTTCATTAGTCTCCCGTGTGTGGTGTAGAAATGACAGCTCTGCCTGATGTTCCTTCCAAGCACTGGGCAGACAGGAGGTAGCAGCTGCAGTCTCCGGTGACGCAGTCGTTCAAATCAAACCAGAATAAAAGTAAAAGACCAAGTTTACTGAGCACAAACATTCCCGGGTGATCTTCCCGACCCCCAGAGATGAGTCTGGGAGAGGAGGCCAGAAAAAAAACCATGTGGCTGTTCTCCAAGAGGCAGTTTAAATACTCTGTAGGCTCAGTCTTAAGTGGCTCCAGGGGAGGAGCCACTACTTGGTGGGTTTTCTAAGTTCAGGGATCTGGAGGGGGGTCGAAGCGGAGTTCCCAGCTAAGTAACAACCCACATGCACTTTTTTTTTCTTTGAGATAGGGTCTCTCTATGTAGCCCTGGCTATCCTGAAACACACTGGGTAGACCAGACTAGCCTTGAACTCACAGATTCTCATCTGCCTCTTTCTCCCAAGTAGTGGGAATAAGGTGTGTACCACTATGCCCAGCTCAGCCCAGATGCACTTTGACTCTTACCTGCTCTCTCCTGGTTGGTGACTTTTCTTTTTGCTGTGTGAACTAAGGCCTATCCCCTGCCAGTGCACCTGCCCTGAGCCACCGTCCAGCCAGGTATGGAGTCTAGCTGGAGGATGTCTGTGCTCAGTGCAGCTGCCCTGAGCCACCATCCAACCAGGTATGGAGTCTAGCTGGAGGATGGTCTGTGCTCAGTGCAGCTCTGAACACCGTCCATCACCTCCAGCTTTCAGAGCTTTGCAACATGAAAGGGCCCATCTTCCAAGTAAGTGCTTCAGTGACAGAGGGCGTCCATTCAGATTGTTAGCTTGGGGGAGAAACAGTGCCTCATCCTTCTGAAGGGAGTACGGCAAAGCATGATCAAAAAGTCATTCATTATCCCAACGCCTTGTCAGGCGGACGTGCCATTCTCTAACTGATTCCCGAGCCTTTCTCTCCGCCTAACTCCCCCACCTAGCATTGTCTCCGTTTTTTTTTTTTTTTAAATCAAGGTTTTTTCTCTTTCTGTGTAGCCCTGGCTGTCCTGAAATCTCTTATGTAGACCAGGCTGGCCCCAAACTCACAGTTTGTGAGCAACCACACCTGGCAGGTGCTCTTTTTAGAATTCGTCATGTTTCTCTAACACGTTTTCACTCACAAAGTTTGCACATGTACTTGTGAAGTAGATATTCTCAGATCTAGAGAGAAGGCAACAAGCATTAAGGCTGAGAGTCACCCAGACAACAGTGCCATCCTGAGACCAAGCTGATCCTTGAAATCGGGGCTCCATGTCTACATTTCTCCCACCTCCGGCACACAGTGACAGCCTGGTGGAGGTGCTGACGCGGCTCTGAGGTCAGACTTTAAACCACGTTGCCTCTTTTCCTTTCAGGCCGAGGACATCTCTAAGGACCTCTACATAGAAGTGTATCCAGGGACCTATTCTGTCACTGTGGGCTCAAGCCCCTTAACCAAGAAGACTCATGTGGTCGCGGTTGACTCGGGGCAGAGTGTGGACTTGGTCTTCCCCGTATGAAGCTGACTGTCACTGCCGTCACGTCACTCTTTTTTTAAGTAGCAAGAAGAATAAAACCACCTAATGATTGTCTTAATAATGATATACGGATCCTACTCTTAGTATTGGCTGTAGGGGGTCAGCCTTTGTGAACTGGGGTCTGTCTTTCAGAGCCCATTTTAACTTGAGAGTATAGAAGTCCGCATCCTGTGTGCCTGAAAACAGTAAGGGAATGGTGCTGTCCGAACAGCTTTCACTGCTGGCTTTCTAAGGGAGTGTAAATTATGATAATAAAGGGAGAGATTGGGAAATAAAAATAATTTATTTTATTGGTGTTAGAAAGAAACCCTGCCCCCCATGTACAACAGTGGGCTATGAGAAGACAGCAGTGGACACACCCTGTCCTTTTGTGAAGAGGGTCCTAAGCGGTTCGCCAGCCCTGGCAGGGAGATCCAGTGCGGGACTACCGGCCCCTGTGCCCCTCACAGCGGGTGTCTTCCCATGCGCTTACCTGCAGGAGGTCTCGGGAGCAGGTGCTGGTAGGTACTCCCCTGTGCTCAAACTCCTGCTAAGGCTTTGTCAGCTGCCCTTTTTAATCCCTTTTCAAATGTTTACCCCATTAACCTTCCAGGAGAAAAACCTTAAATCTTATATACTGACTATAATTTTTATTTTGTTTCTGTTTTGATTCTTCAGATGAGACAGGATCTCACACTGTAGTAGCAGACCAACCTAGTACACAGTCACCTAGGCCGGCCTCATACTTGGAGCAATGCTCTTGCCTCACAGGCATGAACCACAATACCTAGTTTGAGTCTTAAGATTATGTGTATGAGTATTTTGCTTATGTACCATGTGTGTGCCCGGTACCCACAGAGGCCAGAAGATGCTTGTTAGCTGCATATGAGTGCTGGAAGCAAACCTCAGTCTTCTGCAAAAGCAACAAATCCTCTTAACCAATGAGTCCACCATAGCCCCAATTTTTAAAATTATGTGTATATGTATGAGCTTGTGCATCTAAAGTATAGGTACCCTCAGAGTCCCAGAGAGGGGGTCTGCTCTACTTTTGGAGTCTTTCAGATGCCCTGCCCAGGCATTCTGCTTTACCCAGATGCTCAAGGCTTTTTTTAAAAAAATATTTATTTATTTATTATGTATACAATATTCTGTCTGCATGTATGCCTGCAGGCCAGAAGAGGGCACCAGACCTCATTACAGATGGTTGTGAGCCACCATGTGGTTGCCGGGAATTGGAACTCAGGACCTTTGGAAGAGCAGACAATGCTCTTATCCGCTGAGCCATCTCTCTAGCCCAGGGCTTTTCTTCTAAGGGAATTGTTCCTCTGGTTGTCCCAATGCCCTGACTTCGTTGTCTGTGTTCAGCTTCTGGTTGAGTCTGCCGTGTTCTCATGTTGGTGGCTTTCAGGGCTGGCTCCTGGGTGGTCTCCACAACTGCAGTTTGCACTCTGTCCTGTTGGTTGTCCTTGTCTTTTTCCTTATTGTGTCAACGTCTTGTTCCTAAACCCAAGATCGGTTAGTGGGGCTGGTGCTGGAGACAGGGGAGGTGACAGCTGCTCTTTCCTTTCTAGCTTTGTATCCTTGTAGGGGATGCATAAGGCCGTGCTTGGAGGGCAGAGATCGCAAGACGTAGAGCTGAAGACTGACAGCCAACTCTGGACTTGACAGACTGATAGCAAGTACTGGTGGAGTGCTAGTGCTTAGTACTGATTCAATGCCCATCCTGTTTAGAAATCAGACAGTACATTTCCTTACAAGGACGCAAAGCTGGGAAGGAAAAGGCTGTTACCTGCTGCTGCCTCCAGCTCTGGCTTACACTTGGCTTTGTGCACATCAGTTATCTTTGGCACTTGACTATGACAGGCAGTATGGCATCCGCATGGTGACTCCCATTTACAGTCCTAGAACCAGGCTAGTCTAGGTGACCAGACCCAGTCAGAACTGCTAAGACAACAGAAACAGCAGGGGATGGGACTTCTAAGGAAGAAATAGCTGGGGGTGGCCCTTTCCCACACCCCACACCTTCTCTGTGTAGATTTAGAATATTCCTGATGTTGCTCCATGGGCCAGCTCCAGAAATATAAATCTTTTTCTGGACTGCAACAAAACAGCTGGGACCTAAAAGATACATTTCTCTTCTTTGTAATTAAGTATTAGATGAGTGGAGACAGAAAAAGATATGACTAGGGATGCTGGTAGAGTACCTGCCTGGCATGCACCACATAAACCTGGCATGGTACTACATCCTGTAATCCCAGCCCTTGGGAGGTAGAGGTGGGAGGATCAGGGGTTGAAGGTCATCTTTGGCTACATAGGAAGTTTAAGGGCATCTTGGGCTATATGAGACCCCGTGTCAAAGAAGAGGAGGGTGTTAAATAGAGGAACCAATCAGAGCACAAAGATCAAACCATCTGTCCTCTCCTGTTCATGTGGAAGCTACCTCTTCCCTGATCTGACAGCCTGCATTCCATACATTACTTCCAAGCCCACCAGAGTATTCCATATTTCAAGAGACCCTTGCAGCCCCTAGCCCCTGTCTGGGAAGCTAGCATCAAACCCCTGGTATACCATACCCGGTTTTCCAGGGGGCGGCTCAGGCCCGTTTCTCCTCCAGTACCTCCACTCAGGCTGGCTGGGGCCACACTGCTGTAGAGGCTTCTCAAAAATGATGGGATCAGTGTTAACTCCTCTGTTTACCATCTGTCTCTGCGGAAGTCCCTTCTCCAGATGACTCTCTGAATTCTCTTCCTCAGAGGAGGAGGACATATTGTAGCTGAACGCTGCTATCACCTCTTCTTTAGGACCTTGTAGGGACAGAAGCTGAGCTGTGGGCTTCGGCTCTGACTCTGGGAGTTTTCTTGTTGTGGCCTCTGAGGTCCTTGTTAGTGGCCACCAGCTAGGCCCCACCAAAGGACAGCCACAGAAACAGCTCTGATACAGAGGCTGGCAGCAGACACAAGAGAGGCAGGGAGGACATGAGGAGTCCAGAGGAGATCTGTGTGTGGTGCATCTAGTGTTAGGTCCCAGCTGAAAACAGTGAGGTGCCCACAGGAAAGGACTGTGGCAGCCCCAGGTGTGAGGTGTTTGTAGTCTCTCCACAGCCTTCTTCCAGACAGTGGGGGGCACCCACCTGACCCTGTCTAGAGGAACCTTAGTTGTCTTGCCATTCCAGAAGTGAACAGTGATTTCTTCTTTAGATGCTATGAACAGAAATGGGAGACATTTTTTTTTTTATGATTCCTGGTTCTTTGGAATAAAGCCCAAAGCCTCAGCCCCACCCCCTGTTCTTCTTGGCTCTTCATGTGCTGCTGTGCCCAGAGAGCCTTTGGGAATGTCCCCTCTCCCATACCACACCGACCACTGGAGGACTTCCTGGCACCTCCCTGCCCCCTAGGCTGCAGAGGGCCTGGAGGGACCTGGTTTTCGTGCAGAACCAAAGCACAGCCTCAGCAAAGTTTTCTATGATTCTCTGAAGAACAGCTGTGCCGATTGGCTGGCACAAGAGGCTTGTCAGTCCCTGCAGGACCTGGTGAGTGATGGGAGGTGAGTTCCCATGACTAGAATACTTTCCCTGCCACCACCACACATGATGTTTTTGTTGGGTTCGTCGGTTTGAGTTTTTGAGATAGGTCTCATGTAGCCCAAGCTGCTTTTAGCTCCATGATTCCCACTTCAGCCCACTGAGTGCTGGAATTCTAGATGCCATGACATCACGCCCAGCTCATGCGCTGGTTTAGGTAATCAGCATAGACATGGTAGTTGTAGGCTGTTTCTCTTGGTTTGATTTTATGCCTTTTGGGTTTTTGTCGTTATTTGCTTTGTTTTATAAATGTCTTTATTAATTTTTATTCTATGTGTTTTCATATGTTTAAGTGTTTTACCTGGGTGTGTGTATGTGTGCCACATTCTAACATGGTGCCCAGGGAGGCCAGAGGATGGTATTAGGTCCCCTGGAACTGGAGTTATAGAAGGATATGAGCTTCCATGTAGGTGCTGAGAACTGAATGTTAACTACTGAGCTGTCTCTCCAGCCCCCACTTTTTGTTTTTTTGAGACACTCTTATCTGTAGCCTAGGCTGCCTTCAAACTCCCAGCAATGCTCCTGGCTCAGTTTCCTATGTGCTAGCATTGCAGACACAAGCCACCAGCTTCTGTCCTCCCTGATACTAACCATAACACACCCTGGGAGATAGGACCGATCTGCTGCCACTGCAGGGTAAGGCCACTGGGAAATGTGCGAGGGTTCTCTTTGCTGTGACTCCTACACTGTGGAGCCATGGCCACGAGCAGTGCTCCTCTGGGCGTGTAGGGTGACAACAGCTTCCTCACCTTTCTGGCCTTTTTGCTTCTCCAAGCCCAGGAGAACAGTGCCGGGGCCGTACCGCTGTTGCTCTGCTTCCCAGGGGGCCAGCACCTTGTCACCAGGCTGCAGTGAGCGTGGCATGGATGGCGAGAACTGAATGACATCTTCTGGAAATACCACTCTCCGTTGCTGGCCTGGCAGCTTTAGGCCTGTGACAAGGGGAGCCTCAAATTCCACAACCAGGGCCCCCCTCCTCTCCAGCTGTGGGAAAGAAAATAGAGTAAGATTTGACATTAAGGGCTAGGGAAATGGTTCAGTAATCAAGAGCCTTGGTGGCCCTTGCAAGGGATCATGGTTTGGTTCCCAGCACCCACTTGGAGGTTCACAACTATCCATAATTCCAGTTCCAGGGGATTGGACACCCTCTTCTGGCCTCTGTAGCCACCAGGCATACACACATGATGCACATACATATATGTAGGCTATCTTAGTTACTGTCCTAATGCTTTGATAAAACACCATGACCAAGGTAACTTATAAAAGGACATGTTTACTGGTCTTACAGTTTCATGGGGTTAGATTCCATGGCCATCATGGTGGGGAACATAGCATCAAAGAGGCAAGGATGGTACTGACGCCGAAACAGAGCTTATGTCTCGATCCACAAGTACATGGCAGAAAGAGCAGAGAATGATACAGGCTTTTGAAACCTCAAGCCCACCCCCACGACATGCCTCCTTTGATAAGACTACATCTTCTAATCCTTCCCATACAGTTCCACCATCTAGGGACCAAGCATTTAAATATATGAACCTAAGAGGGCCAGTCTCGTTCAAACTACCACACAGACAAAGCACTCATGCATAAAATAAATCTTAAAAAAAAAAAAGATTTGAAATACAGCAGAAAAACAGAGTGGCAATATATACCCATAGTCTCAGCACAAGAGAGGCTGAGGCAGGGGAATTGCTCTCGAGTTTGGGGGCAGCCTGGGCTTTCTACTGAATTCAAGGTCATGTTGAGGTCATCAAGGGCCAGGGCAACTGAGGCTACAAACTGAGACTCTGTTTGAAACAACAAAAAGATGGGGCGAGCAAGATGGTTCCGTGGGGAAAGGCACTTGCAGCCAAACCCGACTTCCTGAGTTTGATTCCCAGGACCCACACGATGGAAGGCGAGAACTGACTCCCCCAGTTCTCTTCTGACCCACTTGCCATGGCACATGTACACACAAGAGCACGCACATGCTCACATGGAACCACATTCACAAAGTCTAGGGATGTAGCTAGTTGGTAGAGTGCATGTCTAGTGTGTAGACCTGGGCTCCATCCCCAGCAGAACATAAACCACGCACAGCAGTGCAACAGATAATCTGAGAGGCAGAGGCAAGAGAATCCAAGTTCAAAGTTCAAGGCATCCTGGAATACAGGAGGTCCTATGTCAAAAAATTAAAAATTGGGACCCAAGAGATGGCTCTGTAAGATCACTTACTACTCTTGCAGAAACCCCAAGTTTGGTTCCCAGCTCCCACAGGGCAGCTCACAACTATCTGTAACTCTGGTTCCAGGCTTACTAACACCCTCTTCTAGCCTCTGTTGGCATTCTGTGCACATGGTAGACACAGTCATACAGACAAACTCACAGACATAAAATTAAAATAGATCTAATTTTTATTTATTTTTGTTGTGGTGGTGGTGGTTTTCGAGACAGGGTTTCTCTATGTAACAGCCCTAGCTGTCCTGGAGCTAGCTCTTGTAGACCAGGCTGACCTCTAACTCACAGAGATCTGCCTGTCTCTGCCTCCCAAGTGCTGAGATTAAAGGTGTGCACCACCACCGCCTGGCCCAAAACTAATTTTTAAAAGAGAAGTCTAAGCCAGGAGGTGGTGGCGCACACCGTGACTGGCTGAATCTCCTCTGCTTTTGTCATTAGTTAGCACTTCAGTGGTCCAAGCAACTAAGCTGGCCCCTTGGGGATGCTTGAGCTGTAACTTGTGCCCCCAAATGGGAGTGACAACCTAGGGTCACCTCCAAAGCAGGGGTCCCCCCAGCAGTGTCCAGTCCATGGGCAACTCTATGGAGGTGACTTGACTTATCAGAACATTTTTGTTCTGTGGTGATTTAGCATACATGAGCATGTTTTTAAAAATAGGCTGAATATTTTCTATATTTGCATTTTTTGACATAGACAGAGACACATATACACATAAATAAAAAGAATTTGGGAACGAGGAAGTTTAAATAGCTAATAGAGAAAGCCATGTTATATGGAAGGCAGAATTTGGGGTGATGCTTCTTCAAGCTAAGGAAACCCCAAGATTTTGAGCAAATACTGAAAACTACGAGAGGGGCAGGAAACAGACTCCTCCTCGTAGCCCTTAGAAAGAACCAAACCTACAATGCCTCAAGAGTGGGAAACAAATGAGGTTTCTGTTGTTCAAGCTATTCACTTTGCGGAACTTCACCACACAGCCCTAACAGCTTAGCCAAGGAACCAGACTTACAAAATGTACACAGCTAAGACACACCGGGCACAACTAAGTCATCCAGAGGAGCGTGTGGCCAGAAGCACTTGCCTCCGGAGCAGTCTTTATCTGAGCCAGATAATAAAAGCCTTCCGGTTCCCTCCTGGCCAGGACCCAGGGGCCAGCAGCATCTCCGACTCTTCCCAGCCAGCTAAGCCCCTGCCACGATGTATCAGCAGTGTGGGAACATGGGTGACAAGAACCACACCTGGGAAAAACAAATGAAATCAAGGGACGAGCACAAAATCCTGTAAGCATCAATAGACTATAGAAGTGGCTCAGAGGGTAAAGGTGCTTGCCACAGACCCCAAACTGTGGAAGGAGAAAACCGACTCCCATAGGTTGTCTTCTGACGGCCACATGTGAAATATAGTGTGTGTTCCCACCTAGATAAACATATGAATATGAAATATAATAATAATAAGATACGTGCCTCGGGGTCTGATCTGAGGAGGCTCACTGCATGAGGGTGAGAAGGTGGGCACAACAGAAATCCAGGGAGAACGTGGCAATCTATGACTTGCTGCAAGATCAGCTCGACTTCTGGAGTTAGCAGAAAGTGAAGGGCACATAGGGCGTTTTCTGTATGGGGCATTATTTCAGGAAAACCAAATGAAATCTGCTTGTATGCTTGTGTTAATCAATGCTTGAAAAACTGGGATTCTACGATGAGGTAACAAATTGACAGGGGAATCAAACTGTAAGTTGCTTGGCTTCAGGGGTCAGAGGGATGTGGACATGTTGGAGCTGGGGCAGTTGCAGAATGGGGGATCTGGTTTGGGGGAGGTTGTTTTCAAATATTTATTTTTACTTTTTGAAGTATGTGTGTGTTCAGATTCCCTGGAACTGGAGTTGCAGGTGTTTGTGAACCGCCTGATGTGGGTGCTGGGAGTTGAACTCAGGTCTCCTAGGAGTACAGATATGCACTCTTAACTGTAGAGTAGTCTTTCCAGCCCAAGAGGGTATGGGCTTTTGAAAAAAAGTTGTTTTTTGCAGACAAGTCTGAATGTAAAGATGCTTAACTTGGAAAAAAAGCCAGGTGGTGGTAGCCCCTTTAGTCCTAGCACCTAGGCTGAGGCAGACAGAGGTCTGTGAGTTCAAGGTCAGCCTGGCCTACAGAGTGAGTTCAAGGACACCCAAGGCTGTTATACAGAGAAACTTTGTCTCAAGAAAACAAACCAAATCATCAAAATACAACAACAACAAAAAAAGCTAAGCTTGATCTTGAACAAGGTGATCCAAGCATGGGGCTGGAGAGATGGCTCAGTGGTTAAGAGCACTGACTACTCTTCCAGAGGACCCAGGTTCAATTCCAGCACCCACATGGCAGCTCACAACTGTCTGAAGATCCAGTTCCAGGGGATCTGACATCTTCACACCAATGCACATAAAATAAAATTAAATAAACCATGAAAAATACTTTTTTTAAAAAAAAGTGATCCAAACAAATAAATTAAGAACTTGAGCAATGAACTGGAGAGATTCTCCAGTGGTTAAGGATTAATTCAGAAGACCAGGATATAGTTAGTTTCCAGCACCCACTTGGCTACTAACAATCCTCGGTACGTAACTCCAATTCAAGCGTATCTGCTGCCCTCTTCTGGCCTCTTCAGGTACTGTATGCATGTAGTACACAGACATGCAGGCAAAACACCCAAACACTTAAAATAAATTTAAAAAAATTTTTAAGTTGAGCATCGGACTGCCGTGTCCCTATCCTAGGCAGACTGGTTGGTCCCTGGAACTTGCTACAGGCTGACGTTCCTTTGCCACGTCATAGTCACACTTCAGACAACTGACTGAGGATGCTATTCTGGAAAATCCCAGGCATTTGAGGACTCTAAGCTGCCATTAGGACCAGGAACAGAGGGGAAAGGAAGGACAGAGGACAGAAGCTGGTACCTGGTGAGTGTGCAGCTCGTGGGCAGCCAGGATGCTTGCGTGGCAAAGGGACAGGTGAAGGAGAGGCCCCAGGGTGGCACCGCACCATCTGGGCTGGGGGCTTTCCCGGCTGTGGCCACACTGCAGTATTTGGGCAGAGGCAGCCCAGGCCTGGTAGAGGGCTGCATGGTCTTCAGAGTACCCACCTGGAGCAAACACAGGTATCACAGCTGTAGTCTAATCCCGCCAGGGGACACTCCCCAGTGTCCCCTTTGGAGAACCTATCTCAGAGTGTCCCCCAGGAACTAGGGAGGCCTGAAAGAACTGAAGCTAGAAGCTTAAAGAGATCCCACTTCAATCCTCCCTCAAAGCCGCATGCTCATAGCTTGTTACCACTCCAGAGATGAGCCGTGAGAGGCACCCAGCAGCCCAGCTCCCATTGGGCTTTACCTCTTCCTCCTCCCTGTGGCTAAAACCCCTGTAGCATGCCCTTTCTCTTTACACACCCTGCCGTGACCAACTGACCCCCACCAGAAGCCACCGACTCCCCTCCTAACCTGGTTACCTACAGGACTAGCTAGGGTCCTCCCTTTGTGGACTTATTCAGAGGCAGTAGCAGTCACCTAAGACTTGTTAGGGTCTACCATGGCCCAAAGCCACAAGTCTGATTCCAAAGGGACTTACCTAAAACTCCAAATCCAGCCCAGACCTGAGCCTTACCTCAGTCTCGGCCCCATCTGACAGTTGACACTCATGGCGTTGGTATAACAACTCTTGCTTCCCAGGCAGGTTGCCTAGCAAGTTGCTATGGACTTAATCAAGCAGGCAATGCCAGGGCTTGGGAGTACACTGGGCATGTGCAGAGAGTGACCTGAGGCCCTGAGAGACTTAGATTTCGGAGTGAGGTGGGAGAACCAAGGCAAGTTTTTTATTTTCCCTTTATCTCAATGACGCTTCCTTACAGTGGGAGCCTCTTAGAGGTCTTGGGGGAGTCCCGTGGAGGGGTGCTGAACTCTTCAGAGACTGTCTGCTTCTACCTACAGAAGGCAGAAGGCTGGATTGGGAAACTAACGAGTAGCCTAGGGACTCTTCATTCCTTATAGTTTAAACCAAAATAGCAGGGCTAGGAAGACAGCTCAGTAGGGAAACGGCGTGCTGCGCCAGCATGCAGACCCGTGTTTGTCTCCTCAGCACCCACTTGGCCGGGTTTACATACAACCCTAGCAAAATGTGGAACTCTGCGTTCAGTGAGAGATCCTGCCTCAAAAAAATAAAGGGGATAACAACTGAGGAGGACACCTTCTAGCCTCTACAGCCCCGTGCATGTACAAACACACACACACACACACACTCACACACAAAGGAGCGAGCGTGTTTGTAACAAAAGGAACTCTCCGAATAAGTATGTGAGCTGTAGAAGGATGGGGAACAGATGGGTGACCAAAGGAATAAAAGTCCAGATTCCTTGGACCTGGAGAGATGGCTCAGTGGTTAAGAGAATTGACTGCTGTTCCAAAGGACCCAGGTTCAATTCCCAAAAGGACCCAGGTTCAATTCCCAAAAGAACCCAGGTTTAATTCCCAGCACCCACATAGCAGCTCACATCTGTCTGTAACCCCAGTTCCAGGGCTTCTGACACCCTCACACAGACAAAATGCAGGCAAAACACCAGTGCACATAAAATAAATAAATCATTTAAAAAATAAATAAGAAGCCTGGGCAGTGGTGGTGGCACACGCCTTTAATCCCAGCACTCAGGAGGCAGAGGCAGGCGGATCTCTGTGAGTTCGAGGCCAGCCTGGTCTACAAGAGTTAATTCCAGGACAGCCAGAGCTGTTACATAGAGAAACCCTGTCTCGAAAAACCGAAGATAAAGAAGTCCAGATTCCACTCTCATGCCCGTATCCACAAAGACTGGTGTGCTGAGGCAGTCGCATAGGTGGAGCCAACCCAAGAAACCAAACACGGGTGTGTATGAGTCTCAAGACTGTAGCTGGGAATTGGATACAGACAGACTCTCTTCTTCTTGGGCAGGAATAAAGAGGCATCTAATTCTAGGAGATCCTGGTGGCTATTTTCTGAGAGAGTCATAGAGCTAGACCCAGGCTCTGAGGGACTCTAGTTCAAGTAGCCCACTGCCTCACAGCGTAGTATTCTGCATTGACTTAAAAATGTTCATTTAGTTTTATTTTATGTATATGAGTGTTCTGCCTGCATGTATGTATGTGCGCTGCAGGCATGCCTGGTGCCTGCAGAGGCCAGAAGAGGGCTTTGGATCCCCTGGAACTGGAGTTATAGACAGTTGTGAGCCACCATGTAGATGCTGGAAAGCAAACCTGGGTCCTCTGCAAGAGCAGCAAGTACTCTTAACCACTGAGCCGTCTCTCCAGCTGCTTGTACTTCTTTTTTTTTTTTTAATTTTTTTTTATTTTATTGAGAATGGGAAAAAAAAAGTTTCCGCCTCCTCCCAGCCTCTTGCTTGTACTTCTTGCTGGTGTCGGGGAGATTTGAAAATGACGGGTTGTGGGTTATTCAGTCCTTCAGTTTCACAAGGAATACACTCTCTGTATTAGTTATGACAGTTTGGGTTGAGTTTCCTCTGGCAACTCAAAGTCCCTTGACTGATGATGCTCTCCCAAAGCCAATTCTGCAGTCACCAGGACGACTGTGGCCCAGACACATGCCTCCAATCTCAGTCTAAAAAGACCAGTGAGGGGCAGCCAGAAAGGATTACTGAATGAGACCATGGGGTTTTAGTGATGGTAGCGAAATATTCCTGTTAGAATGGGAGAGTAAAGAGAGCAGGGTGTGTTTGCAAGACTGTGCTTCCCTTTTGTGGGGATGTCAAAGTATATGGAGCTTTGAAAGCCAAGGGGAGCCAGGCATGGTGGCACTGACTTTATTCCTAGGACTCTGGAAACACAGGCAAGTAGATCTCTGTGAGTTACATAGTTAGAGCGAAAAGAAAAAAAAAAAAACCCACCAAGTAAACTAAGTGGGTGCATTCAACAGCAGTAGTCAAAAGTTATTCGTCTGTTTGAGCAACAATATTTTAAGAACTTCACACTCATGTACACATTGCCTTACAGGACACACACATGTCATGCACCAAAAGATAAGGAAAGAAACGGCTTCAAAACGAGAGTAGAGCCAGCTGAGAACAGAATTCGGGATGGAAATTAATCGTGGTCCCGGCACAGGTGACAGGATCGGAACAGGAAGATCGTGTCAACAAATATTTACCAAGCGTACATTTGGCCAAGGCTGTACGAAGGGTGGGGTGGGTGGTGCGGAGACCCCCGGGCACTCGGTACCCTCAGAATACTCAAAGCAGTAAGGCCGGCATGGGAGTCTCGGGTTGCATGGGATAATTCAGTGCCTCTGAAACCAGAGAAGCAGCATTTAAGGAAGGCTGGTAGTGGGACTACTGTTGTCCCCTCCCCCAAACCACGTGTATGAGAATCTACTGGACGCCGCTGAAGCAGAGCCCTTTTGGGAAAGCACTGACTCAAATGACTCTCAGAGACTGGTCTAGGGGGCCGCAACTGGTGGTCCGAGGGTTCCTCCCAGCCTCAGTCTCATCCGGGTACAAGAGAGACTGCAGATAGCTGATGTACTTGATGGCAGCTCGGAGGGTCTCCACTTTGCTGAGTCGCTTCTCCAGGTAGTCCTCGGGCAGGTGTCGCCGCAGCCGGGCGTAGCCTTCGTTCACACACTTGACTCGCTGCCTCTCGCGCTCATTCCTCTTGCGGATGAAGGCAGGTCCGTAGGCATAGTCACAGCGCCTGTAGTTGGCGTAAGGCATGGGGAAAGAGAAGGGGTACGGGTCCCCATAATTGTCCACGATCAGGGTATCGCCGGTAAAGGGCAGCAGAGGCAGCTCATTCGTGTAAGGGGGCGGCACAGGGGCCTCGGGGCACAGGTGGACAGTGACCATGGGGTCCAGGTAGAAGGGCCTGGACAGTGGCAAGTGGGCAGACTCGGAGAAGACGGAGAGGCTGTCTGGAGGGTTGGAGTAGCTTCTGTTGTCCATCGTCTCCCTCTTTCACCTAGAACAGAGGTGTGCTTATCAGTTTGTCCAAATTAAATAAATAAATACATAAATAAAAGAGCAGGTTTGATCTACTTTCTTCGAGATTCATGTCTTAGAGACTTCTGCTTAGTTTCAGGACTCATACTGAAAAGTAAACAGGGTTATAGTCATTTGTGTAGAGGTGCCGCAGTGGTGCCTGAGACTTGTGATTACTGGACTCCAGAGGCCGAAGCAGGAGAATAGCTCTGAGTTCAAGGGAGCCTGGACTGTATAGTGAAACTGTCTCCAAACAGTACCTCCTCTAACAAGGAAGGGAGGAAGGGAGGAAAGGAGAGAAGAAGAAGAAGAAGAAGAAGAAGAAGAAGAAGAAGAAGAAGAAGAAGAAGAAGAAGAAGAAGAACAAGAAGAAGAAGAACAAGAAGAAGAAGAACAAGAAGAAGAAGAACAAGAAGAAGAAGAAAGAGAGAGAGAGAGAGGACGTCCCTTTATCTCTTTTCTTTTTCAAAAATTTTATTACATTTCTCTCTCTCTCTCTCTCTCTCTCTCTGTGTGTGTGTGTGTGTGTGTGTGTGTGTGTGTGTGTGTGTGTGTGGTGTGATGGGGGGGCACTGAATCCAGGGCCTTGCACATGATCAGCAACGTGTCTTGAACTACATGGCCACTACCTTTAGCCTTTGGTATAAAACCCTGAAAGGGTTTTCCGGGGGACCCTGTGGTTGGCCAGTTACCTAGGCGGTGGGGAAGGAATGCTTGTGCTGCCACTGTAAAAGCTTACTGGGGCCAAGCTTGGCTTTTGTTTTTTCCCTTGCTAGGTGTCCTCGGGCAAGTTTCCTAACCCTCTCTGAGCCTCACTTGCTTCCTATGTCCCCTTGAGAGTTTAAAAGTCCTATCAATGCACCGGTCCCAGAATTAACCGTTCTGTTCTCCTTTTTCTTTGCAAATGGATACTTAAGGAGCCTCTCTTTTCTCTGCACTTCATAGAAAATCTAGTTTATATTCCCCGGCCCCCCGCAGTGGAGAGTCCAAACATTCACGTCTTAGAAGCCCAGTTGCTGAGGTCCGAGCGAGCCTGAGATTTCACGGGCATGCTCCTTAAGCTCCTTAAGCATCCACCAGAGCTGCAGCTCTTAGGCGACTTTCTCAGGGAGAAATTTAGGAGTCCCAGGCTTGGCAAACTACACAAAAAAGGTGAAGAAAGCAAACAAAGTAGACGTTTATCGGCAAGACTAGTTAACGCCGGCGCCACGCTCTCCATTTGCTTGTGGTTTTGAGACTGGGTCTTACTGTATATTTGCTGGCCTGACATTTGTTAGACAGCTGAGGCTGGATCCTAGCCATGTGCCACCAAACCTAACTTGGTACCTGAGCATAGCAGGAACTCTACAGCCCTCGATGGGTGATGGAAAGAACAGCCTTTAAGACCAGATTCTGGTGTGCACCCATCTTTGTGAAAAGGCCCAGCCATAGCTTCCGAAAAGATAAGAAACTGAAATCAGAAATGGCTGCTGAGACTGGGGGTGTTGGGAGGCTGGGGGGCTGAGGACTGGGGACTGGGGGGGGCTGAAGGGTTGGGGGGCTGGAGAGCTGGGGGATTGGGAGGCTGGGGGGGCTGGGGACTGGGGTGCTTTGAGGTTCGGGGCTGGAGGGCAGGGGCTGGGGGACTGGAGGGCTGGGAGGGATGAGAGGGCTGGGGGCTGGGGAGCTGGGGACTAGGGGGGCTAGGAACTGGGGGACTGGGGGGATTGGGAGGCTGGGGGACTGGGGCTGGGGGGCTGGGGTGCTGGGAAGTTGGGGGCTGGGGAGTTGGGGGTGGGGACTGGGGGGCTGGAGGGCAGGGGGAGGGGGTTAGGGGCCTAGGGGCTAGGAGGGCTGGGGGCTGGGGGCTGGGGGGTTGGGAGGCTGGGGACTGGGAGCGCTGGGGGACTCAGGGGCTGGGGGACTGGGGGTTGGGGGCTGGGAGGGCTGGGGGCCAGGGGGCTGGAATGCAGGTGAAGAAGAAGGACAAGGTTGTAAGAAGCCATAGTAGGACTGACTGGAAAAGGAATGAGTGCCTGGAACAGCATGTGCCTAAGAGGCTGGGGGAGGATAGTGAGGTCGTGACAATTCCAAACTGAGATGGAGGGGCAGGAAATGGGAGACTCCAAATTACTGACCAAATGACCCACAATAACTAACACAAGACAGAAATCTCTGGAAGATTAAACAGGAGCCAAAACTCTGTCAAAAAGAAAAAGCCGCTGAGAGAAGAAACTAGTTAGGAAATCCCCAAGCCAGGAATTCTAGAGTCTAAGAGAAGAGGGCCAGCGGGACAGAGCCACAAACCCAGCCGACGGGGGCAGGGCATGCGCTTCAGCCCTGGATTCAAACCCAGCACCAAACAGACCAGAGTTTAAGGTCATCCTAGGCTAGGCCGAGATTCATGAGACCCTGTGTCAAAACAAAACAGCTGGCAAATGGGAAACGGGCTGCACCACTAATTTTTGATGATGGCCTTTTTGCCTACAGCAACAGGTTAAATGAAGCTATGCAGTGTCCTGGTTAACTCTGACTGCCACCTTGACGCAGCCTAGAGTGACCTGAGAGAATAATTGTCTACATCTGTTGGCCTGAGGGCCTGTATTGGGATATTGTCTATTGTGTTTTTCTTACTTTATGTATGAGTGCCTGCATGTATGTATGTGCGCCACATGTCGTGTGTGCCTGGTGTCCACAGAGGCCAGAAGAGGGGGTCAGATCCTCTGAGACACACATGTCGTGTGTGCCTGGTATCCACGGAGGCCAGAAGAGGGGGTCAGATCCTCTAGAACTGAGCTACAGGCTGTTCCAAGTGGCCCAGTATCTGCAGAGAACCAAGTCCAGGTCCTCTGCAAGGGGAGCAAGCGCTCCTAACAGCTGAACCATCTCTCCAGCCCCTAAGATATTGTCTTGACTATTAATTGACGTTGGGAGGCCCGCCCCACTGTGGATGGCACCCTGTCTTGGGCAGGCGATCCTGGGCTGCAGAAGAAAGCTGGCTAAGTCCGAGCCAGCGAGCCAGAGAGTGAGTCAGTAAGCAAGTGTTTCTCCATGTCTTCTGCTTCAAGCTCCTGCTCCTGGGTCCCTGCCCTGTTTCCTTGGATGACCGACTGTAACTGTAAACTGAAGTAAGCTCCTTGGTCCCCTAAATTGTTTTTGGTCAGTGTGTATCAACAGCAACCAAGATGAAACCAGAACAGCCATGTTCCTCAAAAGTAAAGCAGATGTTAAAGCCATTTATGCAGAATTTTGAGTCATGGTTTTTTACCCTGAATAATAATTTAAAGGCGGATCTTTGTGAGTTCGAGACCAGCCTGGTCTACAGAGCTAGTTCCAGGACAGGCTCAAAAGCCACAGTGAAACCCTGTCTCGAAAAACCAAAAAAAAAAAAAAAAAAAACCAAAATAAAATAATAATAATAATAATATCTCAGGGGCTGGAGAGATGGCTCAGTGGTTAAGAGCATTGCCTTCTAAAGGTCATGAGTTCAGTTCCCAGCAACCGCATGGTGGCTCACAACCATCTGTAGTGAGGTCTGGTGCCCTCTTCTGGCCTTCAGGCATACAAACAGACAGAACATTGTAGACATAATAAATAAATATTTTTAAAAAATAATAATATTTCAGCTCTTGACCCAGATGAATTCTGAGTGATTTGTATATACCACAGGTAATTAAGATTCTAGGTTTGGATGAGATTTTGGATAATTCCTAGAGCATGTCCTGTCTGAAGACACATTGATGACGAGGCTTTTCTACCAAGCATTTCCAAGAAGCCTCCCCTCAGGGAGGGGCCATTTAACTGTCACTTTCCGTTCATGCAAGAGAACTTAAGCATAAAATTTAGGAAGACGAAAGCATGCAGCCATGAAGAGGGCGGAGACAGGAAGCCTAGTGGGGTCAGGATGTGTGCATGGGGGGCTGAGCACAAGTTCATCTCCAAAGAAGGCAAAGGATTTCTGCTGCTCTTGCAGGCTTCCAAGTACGCACACGCTGGCAAGCACACCTACCTTGGGACCGTCTCAGGTTTCTGCCTTAGAGCTCTTCTGGGAAATGAGTGATGAAGTCTTAATGATAAAACCTGAGAGAGTCTTGGTGTTCCACTGAGCATAAAAGCAGCAACTTTCATAATTTAAAAAAAAAACTAGAATGTAAAAAATAAAAACCCTCCACTGCACATACAGTTGAATCATGGGGCATGAGAGCTGGGAGAAGCTGAGAGAAGCCCTCCTTCCCTCCCTCCTCAGGGTATGACAAATCGCTAAGGCTTCAAAGTCAGCAGTAATACTGGTACCAGAAGCCAGAACCTGAGTTCCTCAGGTTTCCTCACCGGGGCAATCTGGGCCTTTGTTGTATGGGTCATCATTGACTTCTTAAGATCATAGCATTATCCTATTGATGACAAAATTTATCCACTGTGCCTAGGGCTGTTCTTAAAAATCCTGTTCTGTGGTCTCCCTGTGGGCCACTGTGGAGAAGCATCTCTTACCTGGTTTGCAGTTCAGAATGCTGTATTTGGGGCTGAGTCTGGCTGAACCTGATTTATAGGTGGTCATCAAGTGAAATATGCAAAGTAGCTTACCGTTAAACAGAACCGCCTGGTTCTGGGTAGCTGGGTTTTTTTTTTTCTACTTACTATGGAGCTATGACAGAACCTGACAATCTAAGCTAAGAGGTTTGCTTATGAAATTGGACACTTGGGATGATCCTTTTGTTTAAGAGGGTACTCCCATTCATCCGGGTTATATGGTTTTATATAAAATTATTTCTGAAAAATACAATAGTCTCATAGTATGTAAACACTGGTCAATATTTTTTTTCAGACAGACCAGAACTAAGAAGGTCCATGTAACCTTTGCAGAATGAAGTCTTTTTGGGAATGCAATACAGTGACGTGCCCCTGAGAGCTGGTGCTTGGATAGTGCCATGTTGGCAAAGTGACTTCCTTGAAAACAAATGAGGAACTGGCATATTACAAGTGCTTAGTCTTATATATGGGGAGAAGTTCTTACTGCTTCCTTAAATCAACAGGAACTGTGAGTCTTGAATAAAACATTCTATAATATAGTTAAGCATACTTATGTTTCAAAGTGTGTTTGAAGAGGCTGGAGAAATGGCTCAGTAGGTAAGAGTGCTTGTTTCACAAGCATAAGGACCTGAGTTCAAGCCTCCCAGAATACACATTAAAAAGACAAAGGTGGTTGTGTGTGTACCTGTCACCTCAGTGCTAGGGTGGTCAGAGACAAGAGGATCAATGGGACCAGTCACCAGACTAGCTCCAGGTTTAGTGAAGAACACAGCCTCAGAGGAACAGGTTGTAGAGAGATAGAGGGCACCTGACACTCTCCATATATGCCTCTCTCTCTCTCTCTCTCTCTCTCTCTCTCTCTCTCCTGACACTCTCCATATATGCCTCTCTCTCTATCACTCTCTTTCTCTCTCATACACACACCTTATACATACATGCACACCATGCATGCACACACAAGCAAAAAATAAAAAGCTGTAATATCTGAAAATGTCTATTAAAATAAATAAGATCTTCATTCTAACAAAAAATAACCAAATATAATATATGTCATGTTAGATTAAATGTAAGAAAGAAAACCTAATATCTTTACATTTTTATTTATGTGTCTCTATGCATTTGCGTGTGGGTATGTGCACCTGAATGCAGATGCCTATGGAGGCCAGAAGAGGGCGTCAGATCTCCTGGAGCTGGAGTTACAGGTGGTTGTGAACAGCCCAGCGTGGTGCTGGAAACTGAGCAGCAAGAGGTCTTAATTGGTGATCATTTCTCCAGCTTGTGCTGGCTAGTTTTACGTCAACTTGGCACAAGCTAGAGTCACTGGCAAGGAAGGAACCTCAATTGAGAAAACGCCTCCATAATATTTGGCTGTAAGGCACTTTCCTAATTAGTGGTTTATAGGGAAGAGCTCAGCTTACTATGTATACTCACATACGTGGTGGTAGGTGGTCCTGGTTCTATACGAAAGCAGGCTGAGCAAGCCATGGGGAACAAGCCAGTAAGCAGCAGCCCTCCATGGCCTCCGTTATCAGCTCCTGCTCCAGTTCCTGCCCTGTTTGAACTCCTGTCCTGACTTCCTTCAGTGATGAACAGTGGCACTGAGGCATAAGCCACAGAGACCCGTTCCTCCCCATCTTGCTTTCGGTCATGGTATCTCATCATAACATTAGTAATATTAAATAAGACACAGCCCCAGTACGTCTCTCTCTCTCTCTTTCTCTTTCTCTCTCTCTCTCTCTCTCTCTCTCTCTCTCTCTCTCTCTCTCTCTGTCTCTCTCTCTCGCACACACACGCACACACACACACACACACACACGTCTGTTTTAACTGAGAGTATGGAGTCCTGGCTGGCCTGGAATTTACTCCATAGACCAGGCTGTCCTCAAATTCATGGATATCCACCTGCTTCTGCTTACCAAGTACTGGGATTTATGTTTATGTTCAGCCCAACATAATATTTTAAAACTTTGATATTTCCACTTGTTCATGTTCTGCAACTGAAAGATAATTTCCCATTTACTTTTCTGTGTATTCCAGGAGGCTTGTGTTGACATTCTTTTCACCATTAAAATATTCTATTTTTGGGTTGGGGTGTATGGCTCAATTAGTAGAGTACTTGCCCAGCACACAAGAAGCCCTGGGGTTTGAACCTTAGCACCACACAAGACTGGTGCATGACAGCACACACCTGTAACCCCAACACTTGAGAAGCACTGGCAGGAAGACCAGAAGTTTCCCATTATTCTCAGCTGTGCATTGAGTTTGAGGGCAGCCTGGGCTACAAAGAGCGTATGATTTTCTGTGAGACCTTCTCAGCTTTGCACATAGACTTAGGAACCTAAACTGGACATTCAGCTTTTGGGCTAATTTTCTTTTAAATCAGTGCCCAGAATAGTAACTTGCTATAAAGACATTTTTCCAAGACCTCACCCTCGTTTGGGGTAACAGCAGTTCTCGACTTTTGGCCTCAGTACCAGCCCAGGTCTCCACAAAGATAGTTTTTCTGAGGCTGACCAGTTAGCTCTCCCACAGTTCAAGGCTCGTTTTCCTGGTATTCAGTGAACCATCTGCAATGAAATGAGATCCCATTGGGAAGACCAGCCGCATGTCCTTCTCTGGCAGCTGTAGCTGTCTACCCAGGGCCAGGGGGGTTTCCTTGATGGAATACAATGTTTCTTCTGGTCCAGGCAGAAGATGATCAGCTTAACTACAACGAAGCAAGGTGATGGTTTGCTTTCTCTAAGAAGCCTCGAGAACATACCCTTGCACAGAGAGAATTCTGACCTCTCTCTGGGCTTCTGCCCCACCTATAATTAAAATTACATCTCATTTAAAATATTTATTTTATTTTTTCTTTTCTTTCACAAGACATTTTTATTTAGAAGAACAATATACAATCATAGATATTTCAAAGTTTTTTCCCCTTTCATTTTTTTTAAAAGATCTTTTTCTGTTATGTGCATGAGTGTTTTGCCTGCATGCACGTCTGTGCACCATGTGCAAAGCTGATACCTATGGAGGCCAGAGGAGGCCAGGAGTTACAGGTGGTTGGGAGCTGCGTGTGTGTCCTCAGAACTGTACTCAGGTCCTCTCCACATGCAGCCAGTGCAGCGCTCACAGCCACTGAGCCATCTCACCAGACCATTTTTCTTTAAATGGGGAAACTTGATAAGTAGCTGAGGATGACTTTGAACTTCTGTTCCTCCTGGTCTATTTCCCACGTGCTGAGATTACACGCATGCACTGCCACACCTGATTTTTATGTTAAGGACCAAACCTGGGACTTCATGCATTCTACACAAGCATTCTAGCAATTGGGCTACACCCCCCCCACCAGCCCCTTTCCCCTGTAAGCACTTTGTAAACATGGGGGGGGGGGTTGTGCGTGCGTGCGTGCATGTGTGTGTGTGTGGTGCTCGGAGGACAACTTGTAGGAGGTAGTTCAGTCTTTTACCAAGTGGGTCCCAGGGATGCTCAGGACATCAGCCTTGGTAGCAAGCACATTTACCGCTGAGACAAATCCCTGACCTAGCTGTACTTTTACATTTCCAATTCTATCCTGCTTGTTCATTGGCTCGACATAGGAAAGCACCTGGCTTTTGCGTCCCTGTAATCTTGGAACCTTGCTGGAATCCCTTACTAGTTCCAGAGGGTTTCGTTGTTTGGTTTTTCTCCTTTGGACAGTGCCACTCTCTCCTCTGGCTCTGCGTAGCTCGTTTTATTACGTGAGCTAGGACTTCTAGGGTGATGCTAAAGTGTCTCGAGGACATCCTTGTCTCCTTGATCTCAGGGAGAAGGAAGGTTTCTAGCCTCTCACCAGTAAATATATTAGCTATATATTTTTTAATATTTATTTATTATGTTACAATATTCTGTCTGTGTGTATGCCTGAAGGCCAGAGAGGGCACCAGACCCCATTACAGATGGTTATGAGCCACCATGTGGTTGCTGGGAATTGAACTCAGAACCTTTGGAAGAGCAGGTAATGCTCTTAACCTCTGAGCCATCTCTCCAGCCCCTATTAGCTATATTTTTTTGCAGTTTTTTTTTTTGAGATATTAGTCGCATTCTGTAGCTTATGCTAGCCTTAAACTCCTGGAAACTCCAGATTCAGTTTCCCAGATGCTTGGCTTACAGGAAAAGACACTATACGCAGTTTGTAATTCTCTGGTTGGGGAAGCTCCTTTCATCCCAGTTTTCTTTCTTTCATGTGTGTGCAGGTCCACATGCATATGGAGATCGGAGGACAACCTGTGGGGACCAGGCCTTGCCTTCCTACCGCATAAGCAGGGGTAGCTGGTCCACTCACTACTGAATACAGCTTTTCTGTCTGGGTCCTGGGGATTTGAATTCAAGTTGTTGTGTTTGTGTGACAAAAGTTTTTACCCACTGAGCCATCTCCCCAGCCCCTGAGCTTTTATTTCTCATCCTTATGAATTTAACATGACAATATTAACATGAATTTAATGTACCTGTAATATGGTTCTGCCAAGAACTTGGCAGAATCAGCACTCCTTTATGAACCATTATATAAATGCATGTTTTTTCATATATATACATGTACATAAGTACGTATATATGTATGGGTCTCATCACACCGCCCAGGCGACTGAATTCCAAGCAACCCTCTTGCCTCAGCCTCCTGAGTGTACTACCATGCCTGGTCTATGAATTTAAAGCCTCTTAACTTATCTGACTGCTTGTGTACCCAGGAATATGTCAACTTTCTCTCTGCACCCATAGCACAGGGTCAGTGTTCTAGGATTAGGTTTCATAAGCTGGTTTCACACAGCAGGGTAGCAAGGGGCTCTGTGTCACCACGCTTATCACAAGAGGAAGGAGAGAAGGCTGGAGAGCCGGCACACTGATAGGGGTTTTGAAAATTATTTTATTGTTACATTCCAAAGAGGATGTAGGAAGAGAAAAGCCAGTTATCCAATAACTGTTAAGACTTCTCAGAGAGAGGCTATCTGAACTCCAGTCCTAGGTCAAAGCTGCCTCTCAGCATGACAGGAAATGCTGACCGGTATGTGTACCTCATTCATCCAGGGAGGCTCGGGCTTAAGGGAAAATGACTTTATTCTAAATGTTCAAGTCCTTAGAGATACTAGAAGAAGATGAGAGAGACCACACACACCAAGACTGTGTTTAGTTATTAGAGTAAACCAGCAAACGGCCAGTTTGTTCTAGGACATGCTGCATCAGACATCACAGCGCACAAAACAAGTCTGCATTTCGTGAAGAACCACCAGGCATTTTAGATCTAATTTACCAAGAAATGTAGCCACAGGCCAACCAGAATCGTAGGGAACGTAGTCAGTGCAAGAGTCATGTGGGGAGGCCAGCACGCTTAGAGTGGCTACACTGGCAATATCAACACGTGAGAGAAGGTCTGGTGTATTTACAAGTCTGTCTAGGAAAGACTTGAGAGAAGCTGTGTCAAACACTCTCAAGGCTTCCCTTTCTTCTCCCACCACGGAAAAACAGAAGCAAAAACACACCTGGAAATTATCTTGAAAACCAAGTTAGAACTGTGTGATGAGAAAGAGAGCTTGTTCCAGGAACAGGACCTCAGGATAACTCACAGGCAGCTTAATTTTATTAGTAAAAGTCACAAGTAGGAAAAGGCTTACTGGCTGACTTGGAACTGTGTGCTGTAAAAAGTCTCTGTTAATACATTAACAAGAAAAAGTGCCAAGCACGTGGGTGCGCTTCCAGCTGCGGGTCTTCCTCCACCCAGCAGGATCTGGAAGACAGCAGGGCATTAGAACCCGCGGACACCCAGCCAGTTCCTTCCAGTTGTCTGCCGTCTTCTTTCCGGTCGCCTTGATTCCGATTCCCAGTTAGCTGAGGACAACATGTCGGTCAAAGACAGACTTTCGCTGCTCCTGAACTTGAAGCTTCCAGCGCTGCTGTGCGTACTCCACCTTGTTTAGAACATTGGCTCTGCTGCGAGAGCGGGCCAGCACATCGTGGGCGTTTGCGAAAGGCTGGTGATCCTGAAAGCCAAGGTGGAAGGTGTCAGAGATGACAGGAACGGCACACACCTGCACAGAACAGACAGCCCAGGAGCCAGGCTGGGGACAAGGGCTCTAGCCCTTCAACAACTAGAAGCAGGACAAGCTCAGCTACCAAAGCAGAGGATTCCAGAGACAAGAGCAACGAGGGCTACGTGAGAAACACACCCATAAGTCACCACTTTCAAAAGCATTTTCTTTAAAGAGCGAGACCAGGATGGTGGCCGTTTTTGTTAAAGAAAAGTCTTTCCTGATTAGTGGGAGAACAGTGGGCCAGGAAGAGGGCTCGGCAGGTAAAGGCACTTGGCACCAAGTCTGACCTAAGTTTGATCCTGGAACCCTGGAGTCTGTGTGGTGGAAAGAACTGACTCCAGCAAGTTGTCCTTTTGACCTCGACATGCCCTGAGGCCTGCAGGTGCCCACACTCCTGTCAAATAAACAAACTAATTCTTTTAAAGCAATTAACATTTTAAAAGGGACTAGAGAAGTGGTTTAGCAATTAAGAATGCTTCCTGCACCTCCAGAGGACCTGAGTTCAGTTCCCAGCACCCCTGTAAGACAGCTCACAATTGCTGTAACTCCAGCTCCAAGGGGCCAGACACCCTTTTCTGGCCTCCCAGGACACCTGCAAAAACGTACACATACAACCACATAAAACTTTTAAAATCTTTTTAAAAATTTTAGTCATTTTTTGTGCCTTTCTTTTCCTTCAGATATGGTCTGACCCTGACCATGTCACCCAGGCCAGCCTGGGACACTATATTGTCCAGACTGACCTCAGACTAGTGGTTCTCCAACTTCCCACTCCCAAGACTAGAACTTGAGGCACATACCACTTCAATGAAGAAAGCCTGTTTGGGGGCTGGAGAGATGGCTCAGCAGTTAAGAGCACTGACTGCTCTTCTGAAGGGCTCGGGTTCAGTTCCCAGCACCCACAGGACAGCAATCCATTGCCCATAACTCCAGTTCCAGGGGATCTGGCATCCTCACTCAGACAAACCCCCAATGTACATACAAGAGATCTTAGAAAATAAAAGTAACTAAAAGTAATAACAAAAACCTTAAAAGCTATAACTACTAGAACCTTTAAGAAAGAAAGGAGAGAAAGAGAGAAAGAGAAATAGTGAGAGAGAGAGAGAGAGCGCGCGCAAGCCTGTTTTCACATAAATATCTCCATGAGAAATATTAATGTAGGACTTTCCTCTATATTGATCAATACTTCATAGCTCATCTGTGGCAGAGGACAGTTCCCATTATATCAGAACTGATAACATGTCAGCCTAGGCCGCTAGAGCAGCTAGTTCTCAGGGCTATGTCTTGGCTGGTCTTAATGTCTCTCTGGGCCTTAAACACGCACCGATGGACTGTTTCCAAGACCTCGTTTCCTCTCTTCCCCACTCCACAGTGAGACAGAGCTCATGGCTTTAATGCCGTCTCTTACCAAGGAGAGAGAGGACTGGCTACTTCAGCACATCTAATTAACAAAAACTTCCATCTTCCATTGCAGAGTGTTCCACGGCTTCCCTGCTAATTGCTGTCTTAGGGAAGAGACTAATGAAGGTTACCCTAGTCTGTGTACAAAGCCAGATTCTCCTGTCAAAATAAACTGATTCAGCTGGATGTTTGTAGTCACTACACAGGAAACAACCCCACTAATCTACCTATGGAGGAGATGTCAACACAGCTGCGCACATGACAAACAGCTTCAATTGTGATTGACTGTTTTTATTTTGCCTTTTTCTTGAGTTTTTCCTCAACCCTGTGTCAGCAAAGTTTCTAAATGTTCCACCCAGGCCAGGTTCTTCAACAGGCTGGCGGGCGGGAGAGAAGCAGCACCGTCTGGCTGCTTGGCGGCAGCTGGCAGGAGCGGTCATGGCGTGGAGAGCTATGCATAACCCCCTGACTGCATTACAACTGTTACTGTTGGGGTTTTACCTGGCCGTGTCTCTACAGCAAGGCATTTCTACTTTGTTTACATATTCCAAGCATTTCCTTTCTTTTTATCTATTTTCTAAAGATTTATTTGGTATATGTGGATAGTTTTCCTGCATCTGTGTCTGTGCACCATGTTCATATCTAATGCTCGTTTCGGACAGAAAAGGGTGTCAAAGCCCCTGGAGTTAGATGGTTGGGAGCCATCATGTGGGTACTAGAAAGGAAATAGCCATGTCCTTTGCAAAAGCAGCCATCAGCTTGTGTGTCAAAGGACAACTTTGTAGAGCTCCATTTTTCTATGCATTGGCAGCACAGAGAAACTCGGGTTGCTGGGCTTGCTCCTACAGTAAGCTCCTTTACCCACTGAGCCATCTTCTGGACCTCAAAAAAGCTTTTTGTTCGTTTTACCTTTTAAAGATTTACTCTGTTTTCAATTATGTGTATGTGTGTAGGTGTGTGCACATGAGTGCAGGTGTCCACAGAGCCAGAAGAGGGTGTCAGATGCCCAGAGCTGGAGTCACAGTTGTGAGCCACTGGACATGGGTCCTGGGAATTGAACTCAGGTCCTCTGCAAGAGCAGTGCTCTTAACTGCCAAGCCACCTCAAAGGCTTTCTATAAGGAATCCTTGCCTTCTTTACCCAAATGTCCCCCACTTTTATTAACTTAGGCAATGTCTTTGCAAATCTCTCATGAAGTCCAAGATGTTGCATAGCTATAGAAAGAAAGCTGAAGGGAAAGGAAGGGGAGCTGGGCATGGTGGTGTACACCCATACCCCTAGCGCTTGGAGGACCACTGCAGGCTTGAGGCCAGCCTGCAGGTGTACACAGCAGGTTCTAGGTCAGCCAGGTTGACAAGCAAGACCCCGCTGGGAGGCAGAGAGAGACTGAGATGGGAAATAAGAGGGAGGGAGAGAGGAAAAACATAAAAAATAAAGTAGAAGGCTAAGGTTGTAGCATTACTTGATTTCCAATAAAGAAATAAACTGGCCCAAGGTCATTTGACAAATTAGCACAGACACTAACACTTTGTGTGCCTAATCCTAAATTGGCGTCATATCCTCTCAACACACCAAACTGTTTCGGGTAGATTATGGTGGGAAAACGTGCATCAATGATTTTGTATATAAAATATTATTACCATTGGTTTATTTGGACATAAACAATACTAGCAAGAAGGAAGTACTTTACCAGAGACCCTCTCAGTTACACTGTCTTGCCATTTGCTCCTCAAGGCAGGGGAAGGAAAGAATTCCTAAGGAACAAACTCAAGTGACTAAACAAACCAGCTAATCCTTTTGGTCTGCACTCCACCTACAGAACAAGATTGGACTAGCTGCTCACAGGCACAGGGAGAAAGCAAACAGAGATTTTCACTTCATCTGTTTGTTCTTCTTACACCTGATGAAATTACAACGAATACAAAGCGTGCTTTACTGGAATGTTTAGATAACAGTGATGATGTGTCCCGGGTATATGGGATGACAAATACTACCATTGTTTGAAGTGAACCTCTTGACTAATTGTACTTTTACCTGACTTAAAACAGAATTTAAAAATGGGAAAATTTAAATGCCTTAAAAATTAACCTTTTAAAAAGTACTTACTGAAGAACTCCCATGTTAGCTAAGCAGTTCATAATGAGCTGAAATTTAACTTCTGTTTGTACAGTTAAACACACAACACAGCTTTGGTTGGAAAACCTTTCTCTGCCTAGAATCAGTCTGACAAATATCAGAGTCAGCTGGGACTCTTAGTGACAGTGTTCTCCAATGGCAACGTGTAGGAAGAATTAATTACTCGTGAGCAAAGTGGTTACTAAGCATATGAGCCCACCAATCATGTCATCCTTCATGTTTACATCCACACATTTTTGCACCAATTTACGTTCTCCGTGTTTTACATTGCATCGTCTCTGAATCAGCAGCAGGTTATTAACGCCATAGGATGCATGGAAAGTCAGCACAGACCTCGTGCTAGGAATGGAAACACCGTGAGGCCTTGATATGGATTTATGTCAGTAGTTCTCAACTGGTGGTGATTCTGTCCCCCTGCCAAGATTCTGTCCCCCTGCCAAGATTCTTGAGGGCAAGGTTTCTCCACAAAAAAGGATAACTTAATCCTAGTATCTACAGAGTCAGAATTGAGAATATATAAATGAAAATTTCCATGTGAACAGTATTTGAAACTCTACTCTTCTGATATACAAGTTCTCTCTGGTGCTAATCCCACTGTCTGTTTTGTGTGTGTATTGTGTTTAAGATTTATTATTTTTAATTGTGTGTCTGTATGTGCACGTGCCTGCTGAGGCATCAGGGCTGAGTCCCCGGAGCTGGAATTACAGGGAGTTGTGAGCTATTTTATTTGGCATGGGTGCTGGGAACGAAATCCAGATCTTCTGCAAGAACAATATGCACTCTTAACCACTAAGCGCTCTCTCTCTCTCTCTCTCTCTCTCTCTCTCTCTCTCTCTCTCTCTCTCCCCCTTTAGGTTTTTAATTTATTTTGTACTAGAGACAGGTTCTCAAGTAGCTCAGGCTGCCACTGAACTCACTATGCGATCTAGAGTGATCTTTAACTCCTAATCATCCCGTTCCTCCTCCTCCATCTTGGGATCACAGGTATGCGCCACCACATTCACACTGTCTGTGCCTGGTTTTGTTTTTGAATTTTAATTCATTTTATTACATCAGATCCCCAGACTTACCTTTCTCTCAGCCTAACAATCTACTCCTGGAATTATTTATTCTTAGCTAAAATGTTTGTTTTGTGTATATATATGATGTATACATGCATGCCTGTGTGTGGGAGTGCGGACCCATGGGCGTGCCAAGGCACATGGATGGAGGTCAGAGAACTTCAGTTGTCCGTTTTGTTTGACGCAGGGTCTTTCCTTTGCTTTTTGCTGGGGCATACACCAGGCTAGTGGCTCATGAGTTTCTGAGGGTTCTCCTTCTCTGTCCCCCATCTTTTTTTTTTTGGTTTTTCGAGACAAGGTTTCTCTGTGGCTTTGGAGCCTGTCCTGGAACTAGCTCTTGTAGACCAGGCTGGCCTTGAACTCCCAGAGATCTGCCTGCCTCTGCCTCCCAAGTGCTGGGATTAAAGGCGTGCGCCACCACCGCCCAGCTCTGCCTCCCATCTTGTCAGAGGGACACTGGGATATGTGCTCCTACACCCAGCTTTTACATGGTTCTGAGATTCAAACTCGGATCTTTATGCTTGCACACCAAGTGCTTTATCTTCTGAGCCATCTCTCCAAGCTTCTTCTGGAACTCATTAAAAATATCTAGGTGTTTTAGTAAGCTTGGTGAGGAGCTGTGTGCCTGTAGGTACCTGCCATCCCAGCACTTGAAAGGCTGGGCAGAGGTGCTATGTGCTACACTTTTGGGCTGCATGTATGGCTTGCTAGAACAATTTCTTCATAGAGAGATACACACTAAAATTAGAACTCATTTCAGTATCTCACTGAGGTACCGCACTACCTACGGCTATTTCCACTTATACCAGACGGGGCAGAGACTGGCGCTGAGCAGCTATGTAGTGCCAGGACTTACCCCAACGTCGTCATCACTCTGCAAGAGCTGCGAGTGTCCAAAGAGGCGCCTCTTCAGGATGGGCTCAACTAAGGTAAGATATATCATATACAGAAGTAGAAGGCCCAAAATAGAGAGATAAATTATAATGGTAACCTAAAGGAAAATGAAAAGAAGTCACACTCTGTTCAAGCCAAGGACTTAGTTGTTTGGTAAGAGCAACATTACAGCGAGGTCTGACACTTCCACTCGGGGCACAGGGTTTGTGTGCCCGCCAGCGTCCAACAGCAGAGGCAACCTGAATCCACCAAAGGCAGAGCGCGGGAACAAAAAGTCACAGAGGACCACATATGAGTTTACTTACATGAAATATTAAGATGTGTACAGGCAGAGAGTTAAATAGTGATCATTTGGGATCAGGGACAGAAATGTTTTAAAAATTGAACTTTAAGATGTTGTTTTAATTTGCTAAATTATATACTTAAAAGCAAGAGAATGTTAGGGAATATAAATTACACATTTAAAAGTCTGTTAAAAAGCATCTGGGCTTGGGCTGCAGTTTAGTGGTCAAACATTGTCCTATGTGACATGAGGTCCTCCCTAGGCTCCACCAAAAAGAAAGAGGTGGGTTGAAGAGATGCTCAGCAGTTAGCACTGGCTGTTTCTGGAGGACCCAGGTTCAGTTCTCAGCACCCACATGGAGAATCATAACTGCCTATAACTCCAATTCTTGGAATTTGATGCCCTTTTCTGACAATTGTGAGCACCAGGGATGCAAAAGGTACACAGACATACATGCTAGCAAAACATCCAGACACATGAAATAATGAAAGAATAATTTCGGGAGCTTGAGAGATGCTCAGAAGTTTAGAGTATTTGTTGCTCTTTACAGAGGACCCAGGTCCAATTCCCAGACCCAAATGGTGGCTGATAACCATCCACAACTCCAGTTCCAGAGGGTCTGATGCCCTCTTCTGCCCTCTGCAGGTTTCAGGCATGTACACATGCAGGCATACATGCAAGCAAAACAGTCACATACATAAAATAAAATCATTTTTTTAAAAAAAAAATTGATGGAAAGAGGAAGAGCAGGGAAAGAGAGATTAGAGAAGAAAAGGTGTGGTGAGATTCCCACAGGACCGAGCCCTGCTGAGGCGCTTGCAACTCGGCTGATGCACTGCACTCACTATCAGGCCTTTCTCTTTTCTTCTTGACAAGCTCTTTCGACACAGCACTGTCTGTCCTGAAACTCAGTATGTCCAGGCTGGCCTCAAACTCACAGAAATCTGTCGCCTGCTTCTGCCTCCTGAGTTGAGTTTCTTTCTTTCTTTTCTTTTTTTCTTTTTATTTTTTAAAGGAAAGGAATGGGAAGTACAACCTTAAGACAAACCTGAGAACAACCATACGTCACCATAATATAGTAACTGAGCTCATTAGTGACCTAATGGTGGTGAGTTATCCACAGCCATTTCAGGAACTGAAGACCCGAGTGTCATGCCTACAGCAGTGACTGAATGCAGAATTCAGTCAAAGGGTTGTGCAGGCAGGGAGAGCGAGGTCGATAATGTTGTCTCACTGGCCTTTAGCATACATGGTCCAACAAGAAACTAGGGTAGATTTCCAGAATATGCTAATTAAATGTAGTACGGCTGTTTTAGATCCATTCCATTTGTCTAACATACCCTAACTGATCCAAAAAGCAAAAGCGGGTCCATTATTACTTTTAGAAAAGTTCAAATGTTTCTGTCTTTTCTGAAGAGCATGTGGAGTGTTTGTGCATGCACGTGCGTGTGTTTATACATCACCTTGATAGTGACAGAGCTTCTCTCTTCATACTTGCATTCACAGCGCAGACAGTATGCTTCCACATCAGGCCCCCGCACAGGCATGGGCTCCACAACATGAAGGCAGTCACTGAAAACACAAGAGCAAAACACTGCAGAAGCCTGGCTTCATATTTTCCTGTCTCTGATCAAAACTTTTCCTGAAACACAGAATGATCACTGAGCTTACCTAAAGAAATAATATAAGGCAGGGCGGTGGTGGCGCATCCCTTTAATTCCAGCACTCGGGAGGCAGAGGCAGGTGAATCTCTGTGAGTTCGAGACCAGCCTGGTCTACAGAGCTAGTGCCAGGACAGGCTCCAAAGCCACAGAAAAACCCTGTCTCGAAAAAACAAAAACAAAAACAAGCAAAGAAATAATATAAGAAATCAATGAATCAAAGTAAAATAATTCCCTCTCTCAGTATTAGCACTTTGGTAAGATTTAACAGTGTAAGAAGCAAAAGACACTGTAAGAAGTCGGAAGGCAATGGCTGTCCATGTCTGAGTTGCCATTACTAACAGTTTCTAACATTACTAACAGTTTGAGATGCCCTAGAAAATTCCAAACTGTATAAAAACCAAAACTATTTGCAAGAGCAGTCATATTTAGACTTGTCCAGTTACCAAGCAAAACTCCTTTAAATGTTTTAAAATGACACAAGGCATTGTTTGAATCTCATTGCTTATGAATTAATTACACTTTATTTTCATGTGTGTGAGAGACAAAGCATGGTGTGCATGCGTGTGTGTAAAGGTACACGCAGAGGCCAGAAAAGAATCTCAAATCTCCTGCTCTGTCACTCTTCCCCTTGTTCTCTTGAGACAAAGTCTCTCCCTGAAACTGGAGCTGGGCTGGCAGCCAGTGACTCCCAAGTGATCCCTTGCTTTGCTCCCTACATCTCTGGGGTGACAGCAACACATGGCCACACCTGGCTCTTTATGTGGATGCTGGAGATTCCAACTCAGGGCATCATACACAGCAAGCGTTCTTACCCACTAGGCCACCTTCCCTATCCAGTTAACATCATCATCATTATTATTTTGGTTTTTTGAGACAATGTTTTTCTGTGTATCTCTGGCTGTCTTGGAACTCACTCTGTAGACCAGGTTGGCCTCAGAGCTCTATCTGCCTCTGCCTCCTGAGTGCTGGGATTAAAGGTGTGTGCTCCCAATTAATACTATTTTCAATTATCACAATGTAGCATATGAATGGCTTATCACATTTAACAGAAGGGCAAACTATGAAACGCTGAAAGGTGGACCCCTACAGTCACACTGAGAAACAATCACATTCTTGGTCCAGCCATGCTGGCATATGTTTTTAATCTCAGCACTTGGGAGGCAGAGACAGGTGGATCCCAGGTCAGCCTGGTCTACAGAGTAAGTTCCAGCACAGCCAGGGGCTGAAGAGGAGGCTCAGCAATTAAAAGCACTTAATGTTCTTACAGAAGACCTGGGATTGGCTCCCACATTGCCATCAGGCCGCTCACAACCACCTATAATTCCAGTTTCAGGAGATCTGATGCCCTTTGACCTCCAAGGGCACCTGCATGCATGTGGTATACATAAACACATTTTATATACATATAAATTAAAATTACATTTTAAAGTATTTTAAGTGAAAAATGAAGTATAAAAACTAAAACAGAGATGGCTTATTTAAAAAAGAATGCTACCAAAAATATCTTTGTTAAGAATCTGTTATTTCTAAGAAATGAATAATTACGTTCCATTTTGTAACTGTGTATGTGAGGTGTGTGCTTGTGCTAATCGGCAAGGACTTTACCCACTGAGCAGTGTCCCCGGCCCTGGCTCCGTTGTGGTCCGTCTTCATTATCACAAATGCTATGACAGCATCCTATCTTATCCCAGACACCCTTCTTGAGGGCACTCAGTGTTCTGAGATAATTCCTTCTTCTCATATTCTATTGCTCTGAACTATAGCATTAGAGACAAAACTCAAAATGGTATAAGTGATAAAAGTTCAGTTATCTATAACAAGTAATTTAATTTGAACAAAAGCCGGACACAGTGGCGTACAACTATAAACCCAGCACTGGGAAGGAGGAGGCAGAATGATTGAGAGTTCCAGGCAGACCTGGGTTACATATCAAGACACTGTTTCACAACAGGAAGGAAGGAAGGAAGGAAGGAAGGAAGGAAGGAAGGAAGGAAGGAAGGAAGGAAGGAAGGAAGGAAGGAGGAAGAGAAGGAGGGAGGGCAGGAGGGAGGGAGGCAGGCAAAAGATGAGAGAGGGAGGGAGAAGAAAAGGCTGTGCAGGGCTGAAGCAGCAGGAAGGTTGTTTTTGACTAACCCAGAATAAATAGCGCTAGCCCCAAATTGTGGCTCAGCCACTCTCAGCACTAGGAAACACCCCCACCTAGTGGTCAAAGGGAGATTCAGCTTTGACTCCAATCCCAAAGACAAACCCAAGTACTCCCCTTAACTTGTTTTCAATCAACTATTCCAAGTCAATGAAGAACTGAAGCTAACAACTGAAAAACAAGAGGCCCACAGAACAGAAGGTTAAAGTGTATTTGTCTCACAGGTACCGGGTCCTCAGGGAGCCGTAGCATCCTGGTAGAGCATAACTTGCCTGTCTTTCCAAACAAGTTAAAAATTTGCACTGTCAATTGGGAACATATATCAGCAAAAGACTTACAAGCAAGGGAAAGTAGAAGAGAAGGAAGAAAAATCCTAGCAAGTCTTGTTTCAACTATTTTCTTTTTTAATTTATTTACATTTCATGTGTATTGGTGTTTTGCCTGCATGTATGCCCGTGTGAGGATGATGCATCCCCTAGAACTGGAGTTACAGACAGCTGTGAGCTTCCTTGTGGGTACTAGGAATTGAACCCGAGTCCTCTGGAAGAACCGTCGGTGCTTTTAACTGCTGAGTCATCTCTCCAGCTCCTCAACTATTTATTTTCAAAGCTCCTAATATTAATTTATAACCGGGGATGAAGACATGGCCCTGTCTCATCAGAGAATAACAGAAAGTGAATAGCAACAAAAATTATTGTTAAACACTTGAAAAGTGAGTTCTGTTGCCACTCCACCAATACACATCACAACTGTTACCAATAAGAAAACACACTGATTAAATAAGAAAACACACTGATTAAACACACATTCAACAGCTTTGGGAAAGTTACAGAAGTAACTTAAAGATGTGTTTGAGGGCTGGGGTCACTGTCCAGTGGGGGAATGTTTGCCCAGCACTTACAAGGCCTTGGATATTATCTCCAGTACAGAAAGAATTGAGCTTGTATGTATCGTATAAAGTAACATGCTGGTACAAAGCCTATTAAAAATATACCCCAATAAACCCCAATCATTAGCCTAGCATGGTGGTGCATGTCTTTAATCCCAGCATTTGGGAGGCAGAGGCAGGCGGATCTCTGTGAGTTTGAGGCCAGTCTGGTCTACAGATCAACTTCCAGGACAGCCAGGAATGTTACACAGAGAAACCCTCTCCAAAATCCAAAAACAAACAAACACAGAAAATCCAACCCCAACCACTTTGGAACATAAACATTTCTTAAAGCAGAACACAGACAATTACAGGAACACACTAAACAGCCTGAACCTAAATGCACAGAGCGGGAAGAATAGATAATGACACCAGAGAAACTAAACGTGCTCAAAGTCAATTCAGAAACATGACGGAACAAATGTAATCTTGCTTCAGATTGCTGCTGACTACAGAGCTGTGGAATCCGTTACACACCAAAGCAGCTATTATTTGGAGCTATTCCCCATCAACTTCCACTGTGCTGTGACATCACAGCCCCACTGGGGAAGGACATCCACCCTGCTGTATAACCTGGCTACTTCTTGTTTCAAGGCACACACAGAAAAATCTGCCATTTTTAAGGTCCACCGGGATAAACTGAGAAAGCTGCTGGTAGCCTACCAGACAATCAGGATTCCAGTCATTATAGGCCAGCCTGACTGCCCAGGGGTGGAAGAATCACAGTCTCAACATTATCCGAACCCACTGACACATACCAAAGGAGAAATTCTGACACACACACTTCATTCTCATTCATCCCTGAATCTCTGAAACTTTTAAATACAGCCTCCAATATTTCACAGTATGTCATCAAAACGTAAAGACTGTGGCCTGCAAAGTAGAGGCAAGAAGATCGAGAGCTTGAAGTCAGCTTGCTGTCAAAACAAGTGTCAGGCTGATCTGGGCTACATGGTAAGATCCTGTCTCAAAACAGAAACAAAAGCAAATCCCAAACCCAAAAGCACCCTACTCCCAGCAAAAATTACAAACCAGGAGCTGGAGAGAGGGCTTGGTTAGGAGCGCTGGCTACTGCTGCAGAGGACTCTAGCTCAGTTCCCAGCACCCACGCTGGCCATCCTACCAGCAGCTATGATACCAGCTCCAGGGAATTCAATGTCCTTTGCTGGCTCCACAGACACTCACATATATGTGCAGGGCACAAGAGAGTGGCTATTGGTAGTTTGGACACAATAAACTCAGTCCTGTCTCCATAGGAATCTCCCAGCCTAGCGCTTTCTGTTAGGCTACAGTATTCCTTTAGATTTGTATCATACACTCGGAACCCTAGTCTCATTTTTTCCAGATAGAAATAGAATTTGAGACTTTTGCTTAAAAACTAAATAAGACATTGTATGGACGTCCTGAGTTAACAGTAAGAACCACAGAAAGGATGTGACAGGTGATTTCTTGGCCCATAATACTTACCAATCTTTCTGAGATATGTTCTTATTATAAATATGCCCCGGATTCTCTTTATAGGGAGGGCAGATACATTTACACCTCACATCTTCAAAATTCTGTAACAAAAATGAAAACATCGAAGCTTGTTTGAAGCTTATCATCAATATTTGTAAAAATCTGCACGCATACACTTTGCTGAGTGTCCTTTCAGTATTCTAAGACCATCATCAAAGTTCTTAACGCCCACAAAACCTGACGTGTGCTTTACTAAACAACATGACAAGCAGATTCTGTCATCATCTACCTGCCGCTAGAAAGACACATCCCGGACAGGTAATGGGGCCTACAAAGAGAAATGCTGATACGAGAGGATCGGGGAGACTCAAATTTAAAAGCAAGCCACAGTTCTAGGCTGGGGGTGGATGCAATTCCGGGCTGAAGCATGGGCAGCATGCAGAAGGCTAGTTCAACCTACAAAACAACAAAGGTGGGGGGGCGGGATTTTTCTAAGTTCATCTTTTCTAACTTTTTCCTTTTGAGAGAAAGGCACTGAGCATGGATAAAAGAGGCTATGTCAGCTATAGACAGGATGAAGATTCGGGGCACTCAGCCAGTGCTAGGAGGGGAGTCCAAAGGGAAGTCTCTTGAATCTTGATGAATTTTGCTACTGTCCCCTCAAGAAACAGGGAAGACAGCTCCTAGCAAAACAAATTTCACCAAGCAGAGAAAACGCCATAAATGCTGGATAGATCCGAGAGATGCTTCCTCAGCAAAGGGGTGTCTATTTGAGATGGCAATGGCTCATTAGTCCCCAGGAGACATGTCCACTGCTCCTACGTACAATGAGATGTCCGGCAGAGCTGCTACAGCTCCTAAATGTAGTCAGCAGCCTCTGTGCCAGACCCTGGATTCGATGAGGACGACTCAGAAAAGCAAGAAGCATGGCTCCTGTTTTCTGGAACAAATTCTATCAAGGGGAGATACACAAATACATGTATTATGTATATCATGATACACTACATAAAATGTTCATGTATGATATCCATGCAGGGGGTGCCAACTACATTTAAAAATTAGGAGACTTTCTGCTGTCCCTATTTTTGTGACATCAGAAAGTTTGGGAGAGAAAAGCCCTCTGACCAAAACCACCTGCCTTCCTGTAACCCGTCTTTCCCAGCCCTTTATAATATTTAAAAATATTGTAAAACTCTTCTTTTAAACATGCTGTGTCACTATTTCCCCAACCACACTGGGAATTCTTTCTATTGTGCCCCCAAATGAGTTAGCTCACTGGGGGGAAAGCACATGTTTTCTTGGACCAGGGCAGCTCTGGGGCGCCAGATAACAACATGAGGGGACCAGAAGGGTTAAGAAACACACGGGGGGGGGGGGGAGGACACAATCTCCCCTCCCTACTAGGCCGGTTCTTCCCTTACCTAGCCAATTATCAGAAGAGGGAGGTGTGTGTGTGTGTGTGTTTGATCCTGGAGGGGGCCAGGGTCAGAGTATCAAGCTGGTGAGAAGACCCTGTAGGTCCTCCTGGGAAGGGGTGGTTGCCACACGAGGCGAGCCCCCACCATGGCATGGGAATCTGCTCATGGATGAGTTGAGAGGAGCTAGTACCTAGTAGGGAGGACTTCGGGGAGGGGAGATCAGAGTTTCTCATCATTTGGATTTGGGCCCGGGGGCTGGTGAAGGCCGGGAGTGGGCTGCGAAGTTTAAGGGTGGAAAGTTCAAAGCTCCCATGGCAGAAAAGCTCCTCAAGTTCCGGGTATGTGCTGTCAGGGCTGGGAAGGGAAATGTCAGGAGGTGGAGGAGTTGCAGATCCGGCTCCGGGCACTGTCGGGGGCTGAGGGTTAGGAAGCTCCGGGCAGGGCCGACCTGGGCTGCGAAGCAGGGGATCTGGCGGTCGGATTGGGAGAACCCGGGAGTGGGGAGCAAGTGGGCAGCCCCAGTTTCAGCCAGGCCAGAGAGGCAGGGGCGGAGCTCCTGTCAGGAGCCGGGCGGGGCGGGACTCACCTTGGCGGCGCCTGTCAGCGGCGCGAAGAGCAGCACGGACAGCGCCAGGCAGGACAGGCCGAGCCCCGGGCCCAGCCGCAGCCGGCCTCCGGCCCACAGGCTCGCCATCGCGGGAGCCAGCCGCCCCAGCGAGCCCGAGCCCCGCTCCCGGCTGGGGATCCGGCTCGGGATCCTCCGCCCGCACTTCCGCCTGGGCCTGCGCGTCACAGTCCGCGCCGGGTCAGCTGCGAGAAAGCCTCCGCCCCGGAAACGGTTCCGGGTGCGCCGGGCCGTGGCGGCCGCGGCCGTGGGGTTGCAACGCTGTCTGGGGGCTGCCCCGGCCAGGGCCGGCGAGTCCTGCGGCTCCGGGGGGCAGACCACCCGGGCCGGGGCCTGCAGGCCTGGTGAGCCCCATCCCCGGGAACTGCCGAGACGGTGCCGCGCGTGGAGACCTGGCCGGGAGTGGCCGAGCGCCCGGAGCGCGGAGGCCACCCGGCGGCGGAGGGTCGGAACTCGGTTCCTGGGCTTCGGTACTAACCTGCGCTCCGTGCGCTTCCCGGGTTCAGCTCCCTGCGGGGCTCGCAACGGTCGCTGTGGGCTGCCCACGTGGGTGTGGCTTCCACTAGGGGCTGACCGCCTTGGTGCAGCTTGGGGCTGGGAAGTGGGTCACGATGGTGGAGCTGGGCCGGCTCAAATCAGGCTTCGCTGGGTTTGGACCGCCCCAGCAGCATCCGCCAGCCCCGGCCCAGGACTACTGGCGGTGGAGAATCCGGGCGCTATGCTCCTGGGAGGCAATGCCTATTTAAACCAGGCCAGCCCTCAGTTCGGGAGCGCTGACCCTACACTTCCAGGTGTCTTCTGCTGGTAATTTTGGAGCACCCTGGAGAGAACGCAGTACCTCCAATTTAAAAAAAATTACATATGTATATATACACTATATACACACACATATGTATATATACACACACAGTATTCTCATCACAACCTTTAGGGGTTTACTGAATGCCATCAGGGAAATCACTTCCCTTCATTAAGAAGAATTGAATTTATGAATTTCAAAATCTACTCCCAAGATACCCATTTTTTTAAAAAGTAGTCTTTTCCTGGTTGGTGAAAATGTTTTAATTACCGAGTAGAATTTTCTCAATGTTTTTCTGCTGTATGATTCTTGTCGATGCCAGACGAGAACCTAGCACAAGGTACTACATAGCATAAAATATATTTAGCTCTTTTAGTCCTAAATGGCAACTCGCCCAGAGCGAAATCAGCAGGATGCTTTCTCGCCAGTTCTTGTGAAGATGCTGTCACACGGGTAATTCGGGTCCTTCTAAGTGGCGTCCTGCTGCTGGCAGTGGAGGACACTGTGGATCTGGTTGCTAAACGCTGACCTAGAAGCCAGTTTGTATCAGCTGTGGGTCTGATGTCTAAAAGGAATTTGTGCTCTTGAGATAAAGCACGGAAACCCTCCTGTGCTCCTCCTTCAAAATTCTTGTCAAAGGTTAGAGGGAAGAGGGAGTCCAAAGACTTAGAGGACCACAGCAGTGCCTCAGGCTGGTGGGATATTTTGTCCTTTGTCCTTGCTGTCTCAGACTTGTGGGCTCAAGTGATCGTTCTCCCTCAGCCTCCTAAATAACAGACTACCGGCGTGAGCCTCCAAATCAGAACCGCTTCATCAGTTCAGTGAAGAAGAAAATACATTCAGTGTAGACAGGATTTTAGAGCTGAACATCTGAGGTGTGAGGGATGTCAATGGAGCTCTGCTGTAATCGCAAACTATTTCAAAATCAGTGTGAGAAAAACGTAAAAAAAATCTTTATTTTAAAATACCGATTAAAGTTGGGGCCGGAGAGATGACTCAGCAATTGTGAGTCCTTGCTGCTCTTGCAGAGGACTGAGGTTTGGTTTCCAGCACCCACAGGGCAGCTTACAACCTTCTCTAATTCCAGTTCCAGGGGGCTGATTCCTCTTTCCTGTTCCCCAGTGGCTCTTTGTGCTCTGGTGCACATTCATACATGTTGGCAAAACACGCACAACGTAAAAATTTTAAATCGTCATTAATGTTGAAATATTTTGGATATATTGGATTAAAATAATTATTCAATTTTATTTTTAAAAAACGCAATGTGGCTACTAGAAATGTTTTGTTCTAGAATGCAGCATGACAGCCACTGATGGATTGTGGCTGACCATAGACTGGAGATTTAATTTAAGATGAAGAGAGCAGCGATGAGGAGAAACTGGCACAGGTATATATATATCTGCCAAAAATAAGTGTCGTTTCAGCTGACTTTAATAGAAGTGGAAGGCCCGGCTTCTCTCCCTCTGCTGCTTACATGTGTATGACTCTTTCATGTAGATCAGGGAAAAGCCTTCCTTGACAAGTGTACATGCCTGTGGTTTTGCAGATCTCTTTCCTAACATACTTCATTATGGTGAAATGGTGTTTTCATGGATGTCTTTGTGCTCCTACCCCTACCAAAATCTTGTGAGCCCTTTGAGCATAGGAACCTTTCTCTTAGTATCTTTGGATCTGGAGACTGAGATCTAGTATTAACGTGGGAACCAGGGAAAGAGAAAGGGGAGGAAAAGAAATTCCTTTAGTTGTCACAGGGATAAAGGTACTTACTTGAGTCCTTGCTTGATTTCTTTCTGACCCTGAGAGATGAGGCTGAGATGCCCAAAGTGCAAACAGCAGAACCACTGCACAGCTGGAGTAGATAAGGAAAGACCCCTGACCACGATCTCTTTAGAGCCATTCAGCTCAGACCCGGCACTCATCCGAGCATCCGTCCTCCCTGCCCTTTTCCTGGGTTTCCTGTTTTTCTATTCCCTTTCTTATTTCTGTTGCCATGCTAGGGATTGAGCCCAGAACCTCACACTTGCTAGGCAAGTTCTTTTCCACTGAGCTGCGTCTCCAGCCACCCCACCCACCCACTCTCCACCCACCCCCCACCCCGCTCCATTCTACCACAATATCTGAGTTCTCAACTCTTAGTAAAGCCAGAAAAAAGAAATTCTCTTGTGGGCAATGATTAGGAAAGCAAGAGAGCCGTCTCCAAACTTAAAGTCAGAATTCGGGAGCCCAGGTGATCACTGTGTAAAGTGCATTAGTCAGTTTGTGGGTGGCCTCATCGGGGCGGGGGGGGGGGGCGGGAACAGCAGGTGGCAGTTGAAGTTCAAGGTGTCAGCCCACCAGGAGGAAACTCTGATGGGTCAATCTGGGTTAGGCAAGGCCCCCAGATCACAAACCCTGAATGTCTTTTGCTCCTACTGCGCCTGCCTTGAGGTGCTGCTGCTGTCTTTCTCTGGTATCTGGTATGGTGTGAATGTGGGGGGAGGGGCACCCACACTACCTGTAATGTAGTGTGTTTATCTCATGGAAACATCCCGTTCTGCCAGGCATTTTGACCTGTGGCTTACGATGAAAATGATTCCTTCCTAAGCTGTACTGGCTAATTGATAATAATTATTTTTATGCTAAAAAAATAAAAGAAGGAAGCGTCACACAACTAGAGCACATGCATTTCTATTGAGGAGCCCTACAGACTACTGTTTAGGTTAATGATTAAGGAAAATAACTGAGTCACAGTGGCCCAGTTAGCTTAAATTCTTTAGCCTTAATGATGGGAGATGTGTTCACAGGTTTCGGAGTGCATCACACCTGAAAATAAGTTTTGAAAATAACTTAAAATTAAACTAAGATGTTTTTGTCAAATAGCTTTGAGGTGAAAACCCGAGAAGACAACCTGAAGTTTAGAAAGGCTCAGTGTTGGATGCGGAACAAGAACAGAGCAGCCCAGCTCTCGGTGGCTGGCATACCTTTCTTACTGGGACTGGTTGGTGACCAAAGGTGATGATTAATTCCTTGTACCCATTTTTGTCCTTAATCTCCTGATATAAAAAAAATATTGATGAGTGGGTTTTGTACCCTAAAAATTTAAAGTAGAGCTAATTGTTTTTCATATATAAAAGTTTAGGTTTGTAGCCAGGCGGTGGTGGTGCACACCTTTAATCCCAGCACTCGGGAGGCAGAGGCAGGCGGATCTCTGAGTTCCAGGCCAGCCTGGTCTACAAGAGCTAGTTCCAGGACAGGCTCCAAAGCTACAGAGAAACACTGTCTCAAAAAAAAAAAGTTTAGATTTGTAATTCCTTTAAGATTCCTTGTAAGATTACCTTTTGATATAAGTAATAAAATGATTGGTCCTTTCTTTGTAACTGCAAAATGCAGTGTGCCAGTAAAAGACTGGTTAAGAAGAGCTTGCTTGCCTACACGTTTGATCTGTAACAAGTTGCTTGGGTATGAATATACATGGTTTCTTGGGATTTTTTTTTACCTGCAATACATAAAATGTCTAATCATGTAAGGAATATGGAAAATTTGCTGTTTTTTACTGTTTGTTTTGTGTTCATTGTAATCATTTGCTTGAAAGACAGAATGTAACCACATCGTAATTTTTATATTGCCTGGAAGATTTTGCTGGGGTAGATAAGCTGTAAGGGAAAGAATAAAGATAGTGTTAGATAGAGTTACAATGGGTTAGAAGGAAATCACCAGGAAAATAAAAAATAGAGAATGCAAAACAAGAATAAAGATCTGAAGGAAACCATCGAGAGAGTGTGAGTGTCATTTCCCCTAACACCCTCAGATAGGAAAGTCTAGTGCCATAATGATGCTATGAACATAGTTGATCACATGTCCTTGTGGTGTGAATGTGCCTCCTTTGGATATATGCCTAAGAGTGGCATTGCTAGGTCTTAAAGTATATTGAATTCCAATTTTCTGAGAACTCTCCATACTGATTTCCTAAGCAGCTGTACAAGTTTGTGCTCCCATTGTTCATAATAGCCAGAACCGGCAAACAACCTACATGCCCCTCAACTGAAGAGTAGATAAAGAAAATGTGGTACATTTACACAATGGAGTACCACTCAGTGATAAAAACAACAATATATTGAAATTTGCAGGCAAATGGACTGAAGTGGAAAAAAAACCATCCTGAATGAGGTAACCCAGACCCAGAAAGACAAATATGGTATGTACTCACTCATAAGTGAATATTAGACATAAAACAAAGGATGATCAGCTTACAGTCTAAAACACCAGAGACGCGAAGTAACAAAGAGGACCCTAAGAGAGACATACATGGATCTGCTAGGAAGAGGAAATAGACATGATCTCCTAAAAGCTCCATCCAGTAACTGATGGAAGCAGATGCAGAGTGGTTAGCTGTGG